AGATTAGTCTTTATGGGATACGATTACTCTATAGTTGAGGTCACCTGCATTCGCTCGCGTGAGAGCCATCACGTAAATGCACTTTATCCGAGCAGTTAATCAAACCCGGAGAAAGTTTGCGCGTTATTTGTACCCTTTTTCGAGCAGCTGGATGATAAAATGAGGTACTCTAATAGTCGTAAAACTGATAGTCATGTAAAGAAAGCTAATCGGTGTTGCTTTAGTTACTAAGATATGCTGGAAGGTAGAGAAAGCTAGTTTTATCTGATACTAAGATATCTCGTGAGAAGTAATATACATCAATTGTCTATCCGTAAAAGTTTCCGAAACTTCCGAATTAACAATTATTAGTAGTTACTCACCCATCAATGACAGACAGACTTCACTGGAATTTAGGCAGGATTTATGGAAATCAAATTTTACAAAATTCAGATCACAAATAAGGTTTTAAGTATATTTACGTTATCAAAGAAGTTTGCAAACCGCTGTTTAACTTGTACTTAGCTAAAAACTGTTTTTTGAACGTTATTACAGGATGTGGGTTGTTATTTGGAGCTTCCTTAGGGAAGACCATTTCCCCGTTGACTTAATCATAACTGATAACGAGGAAAACGGAATATTTCTTATGATTAAGTATCAGTATCAATGTTGATCAGCACGGAAAGCGGCTGTTGTAGCAGATGGAGTTTCCTTTAATACTTTTCTCGCGCTTAATGAGATATTTACCTTATCGTAGTTAATGGGAAAGAGTAATATAGATCTTTCTGTCGTTTATGATTACGATCTCGACTTCGACCTTTGAATCAACTATAGTTGTGGTTTGACTGAATATCGCTTTTGAAAGCAGATCACAGCCGAAAAGTAAGTTCTCGGGAATAGTGGAGCTTGTGTTGCTCAATTCCACAGGATTCGCTGCTATTTATTTCCAGGGAGGACATGCCAGGAGGATAGAGAATTCTATAATTGTAATCTAATCACCACATGACAAAGTTAATGTTCGTTCTAACTGTAAGTGGACTATGTTATGTTTAGAAGTATAAAAAAGCGAAAACTCCTGCCAATGCAAATTTCCCCAAATATTCCTCGTCGTTGGCCAAAGCAGACGTAGGAAGGCATAATAACTTGAAAATTTCTTTTGAAATCAAAGTGAGCAACTCTTCTTTTTTCTCGTTCTTATGGTGTCACTTGATCGAAGTCAGAGTGTGACGATAAAAAGGCCTATGTTATAAATGCAATTGGTGAAACGGCTTATCAATATTCAATTGTATATGTGAGTTTTGAGTCGATTTGTATCCATCGAAAATTGTCACATATACAAACCAGAGATGATTATTTTGAGTTTCCTTCTATCGTTTGAGTCACAAATAAAATGAACGTCATTAGACTGTTTCACATTGATGCTGTGATTTACTGATGTATTATCATAAAACTCCATCTGTTGTGTATTATTATGAGCCATTTTTCCTTTATAGTAAAGTCTTGTCTGTGAATATATGAAAATCTTATATGTGAACTGCGGATAAAGAATAAAATATAAAACCGATTTGCGCGGTAAGCAGAAAGTAGTGAAAATAAGGCCTGAAAAAAAGATACGATTTTAATATGTTCACAGTCATCTATTCATCACTTCACGGGTTTCTTTGGAACCAACGTAATCTCGTACGGCCTGACTTTTTTTCAGGGCTTATTTTCATTTCTCAGTTTGTTTTGTCAGATTTGTCATCTAAGAGTATCAACATTTGATTTCATGTATAAGTCTGTTTTATGAGGTTTCTCAACGAAGAGAGTGTGAATGTCTGATTTCGTATACACATCTGTGTTATAAACTTTGTTATCGATCGGGAAGAGTGTCCACGTCAGATTTTGAGTATATGTGTTTGTCTCAATTTTCATTAAATGTTCCCATCTACAATGACGTTACATTAAACAAATTTCAATATTGTTATGATCGAATAATCAAGACCATTCAATAGAATTATGTTAACTGTTGGCGAAATTCCAATTCTTACCGATTCATCAACGTTGAAATATACTATAAACGAAATGCCAATGTCAATCCATTTGTTTTTCAATATTCAATCTGACTTAACAGACCCATAAAGTAAGGTTGAAGCGCTTGATTTATCTGTTTTCAGACCGTCATTATAGGGGATCAAGTTCCATCATGCTATGTTTAACGGTCAAAACTTCATGAAATGAATCGCATCCAAAATCGCCATCATTAGACACAATAACACGATCTGTACAATCCTGTGTTCCAATGTTGAAAAGCTTCACAGCAAACTAGTTAGGTTTTATTTTATTGATTGAATAATATATACTCATCGGAGTTAATTTATTATTAAGATAAATAGCGAAATCAGTTTCTTGGTGTTTTTTGGTAACCGTGGGTTATTATCATTTAAAGCGTCTTGTATAATTAATTCTCTGCTCATATCGACCTTCTCCTTGATAGTTCCAGTATCAACTGTTGCAAAACCAGGAAGAACTCTAGCGCCGACATTGGACAATTATCTTGAAGCTAGAGTCATAAGACTGCTAAACAGAGAGCTACCTCTTTCACAACATGACGTAAATGCTATCTGCGATTTGCTTATCTTGATATCCACACCAACACCAGTTGACACTGCTCTCTGTATCTTTTTGGCCTGCGTTCCCATTAATTCATCGTTGCCGTGTATCTCGTTGTTTGGTAGGCGTAGAGTAATAAGATATCTCTGTTGAAGCGCTCTTGATAATTTCTCTTTTGACTGTCACTCAAGGTGACCCCATACAAATGATACGTCGTGCACCTCAAGCACGGGAAAACTGCATAAGAGTTCTATAAGTCTTAGCTAATTAATATGTACGATTCACTCTCTCTTGCGGATAATAAATGCCATCGATCAGCTGAAGTCGAGCCATCGAGATTGTACTATGAAATTCTTGTCTTTTGATGATTGTTTTTCAAGGTTCAAACACCAGACTAAAACGTGTCTTGGCTTTCTTAACGCTAGAAGTTATTTTGAATGTTACTTTTTTTTGTCGTGTTGTTACTCCGATCTCTATTCTCTCTTTCAGACAGGGCCATGTGTGTGTTTTCAAATACTTTTCAAGGAATAAGTTCTCACCTTTATAATTGAATGTCATCTTAGGTACCCCCAAAACAAACCGTGAATTAAAATATCGTCCATCTGCAGCGCCGGCTGGTCTGAAAATAACATGGTCATCACTTTCACAAAAGCGACTTAAGTTTGTGCCTTAAGCCGTAAATAAGGCAGTCTGGATTACAAGGTCTATAACGGGTGGAAATGACTAGACTTTAAACTATATTGGCACAAAAAAACGTGATAGCGAGATCAGTTATATAATTCTTTATTCTCCTGGCATGTCGTACTTGGAGATAAATCGCAGCGAATCCTGTGGACCTGTGCAACACAAGCTCCCATATTCCCAAGAACTTACTTTTCGGCCGTAATCTGATTTCAAAAATGATTTTCAGTCACACCAAAACTGTACTTGATTCAAAAAGTAGTTTATTCTGACGAAATTTGAGGTCGAGATCGTTATCGTAAACTACAGAAAGCCCTTTATTTTCAATGTCCATAAAATACGATAAGGAAAATAATTCGATGAGGAAAGAAAATTTCTGATAGAATATTTCAGCTGCTACTACAGCTGCTTTGATACTAGTCGACAAGTGGAGAAATATGTTTTTCGACTTGTCACTAGCGTGGGACAAAGAAAAAATTCTGAGTCCCAATTAGGAATCGAACCACAGACCTTCGGATTCCGCACTCCGATGCTGTAACACTGAGTCGCATAGATTCTATGGTGAGCGAGGCCCATTACGAAGTTTATAAATGACACGCTTCCTGCATACTGCTAAGATCAGCGATGTCGTGAGCGTTATGTTTGTATATAGAGTAAGAGAGATGGTAAGTTTTAAGCTCGGTAAAGAAATAGAGAAAGATGTGACAACGTAAGCGAAGGCAAGTCCAGCAAAAGCTAATTAGACGAAAAATTGAAACAATGAATCAAATAAGATTTTAACTGATTTTTGACACTGAACAGTCAAAAAAGTAATCCTGTCACGCCCTTGCGGTGGAAAGTAAAACAAGGCAATACAGGGGGTTTACCTGAGAAGATTCATTTGTGCGGACTATTGCAATTGCATGCAACTGGCATGATGAAGACCTGTTTTTTGGGGAAAAGATGCGATGTGGAGCACAAAAAGGGTGCGGTAAAATCGCACCAATGAGAGCCAATCAAAATGCAAGGATCACCAATGATTTAAAAAATGGATGTAACAAGTACTTAATCCACTTTGCGACTCGATTGACCACTAGTACTTAGGATTATGCACAATATTAATCCCTGATTTTCCTCAGTTCTAAAGAGTGCATTATACTATACCTTTAACTGATCACCTTAATTCTGATGATCACTCAATCGAATTAGGGATTGGTTTTTTTTTTAATACATACTCACCGGCTTCTTGAGACATAATAACAGCTGAAAAAGCCACTGCACTAACAAATAGTGATGCAAGAATTTCAAATCGCACACTGATCCATTTCCCACCGGCCATTACCAAGATGTTTGCTTGATTCAGAACATCATGGTGTCTTTAAGAAAGCAAGAGAATAGGACAAAATTAGTGGGTTATTCACTGCTTTTTGATAATTTGAACTTACAGGGCATTTGGAAAAAACTTCTGTTTGAGTTGACGGTAGGCTCTTTACCAGCTTCTCGTCTCTTTTTGGGAAGGAGCGAGAATCAGACACTAGAGATCGGCGGAAATCGAGCCTAAGATGTCGGGTACCCGTTTTGTTCTGAGGGAAATACATTACTTTGCAGTAACTATTTATGGAAATGACGATATGACGTCTTTCTTTTATTTCTACAAATTAAGTATGTAGTTCATTTCTGAAAATCCATTGTACTAAGTCAAGATGCAAGTCGGATAAAATTAAGACAAGGCAAACCCACCTGTAAAACTGATCCACAAAATCACTTTGTCACCCTCTGGTTCGAATCGTTTCCAGTCCATCAAGGGTCTCCGAAATGTGAGAGAACACTGGACTACGACTTATGGACGCTAACCTCTTAAGTTCCTGGGATGTCTTAAAATAATACGTGGACAGGTGTATAGCAACCACAATCAATGGCATAAGTATGAAAATAAGCCAAGGATTAATAACAGCCGTGACAATTAGTGGTGCAAGCACATTTAAGGTTGAGTCGATCGCTAGTTGAAACGTCCTTGGTAACTGCTCGTCCAACTGACCGATATCTTTGGGAAATCGATTAAGGATTCTTCCCACGGAATTTGAATCAAAGAATAAAAAAGGAGCTTGTAAAGTAGCAACGACCATCTTGTCATGAAGACGCTTAGAGCATCGCAAAAAGCAGGAGAGTAATACATATGTTCTTGTCAATATAAACATGAGGGATACAACAGCAAGACATCCATAGATAACTAAGTTTGATTGATCTTTCTGATCTTGAGGGAGTTGCTTTGTCATGAACGAGAGCCACACGTCAGGAGCAACCAACATCCCTGGGAGGAAAGGGAAAGCAAAGTAAGTAAAGGCAAAAAGTTTCCATGTGCTGATTCTCAATCGTATCAAAAGGAACGAAGATTTTGATTGCTTACTTGATGTACCTTTGAGACACACGCACACTGACACTCGATAGGAAAGATGAAGAAACAATTTGTGCATCCAATTTATTTCAAACCGGAACAAATTCAATATTTTTTTATCCTTATTGGTAGTTCAATATTAGATGGGAATGTTGAAATTTTCACGATGTGATAAATAGAAAAGACCTCTGCCCGCTTGTACAGCTGTTTCATTTAGAGATCAGAAATATTTTCCTCTAATAATCAGAGGGTCTCCATGGGATAGGGACCTCTACGGCCAATAGTTAGAATATTAGGGCAACATCACACAAAATGACACATTGGAAAAAGGAAAGATTTTTACCTCTAGAGGCTCAAATTTGTCAAGTTTTTCGCCTAACAGCTTTTTTTGGCCGTTTTACGGCTAACAGTTAACCCCATTTAAGCCCTCTAATTACAGAGAGAAGTAAAGCAGGCTGCAAATGCAATGTAGTCTTGGATTACTTTTGACTCTAAAATGATATTTGTGCAATCATGGCAAACTCTTTCTGAGAGGCCGTTTTTAAGTCTTATCTTGGGCTGTTACGGAGAAAAGGATTATTGCCAAAATCATTCAAGAAGACATTCCGCTTCTTAAATAACTCCAGTAAAGCTTGGAAGAAATTACTCCGATTTCCCAATCTTCTTTTGGCATCAGAAGACTCCTGGTTTCTTTCGACGGAGATTCCATCCCAGCGAAGCAGGGAGCAGCTCCAACGCTTCCATTTTCTTCCTCTCTTACAAACTTCTCATCTGTATTGTGTTTTGAAATCTTCTTGTCGAGCGGATCAATAGTGTTACTAAGGATTCCTTTGTCTTGCAACTCAAGAAAACTTCCTCCTTCCAGCACACGCCCCTTACACAACACAATCACTTCATCAGCGTCTTTCATGTGGTCTTCTTGATGAGAGGTCATCATCCGAGTTTTATTGCGTAATAGTTGTTTGATACACTTTTCAAATATATGTTGTCCAACTCTGAAGTCCACGGCGCTCAGAGGATCATCCAAAAGATACACATCTGCATAACCGTAAACTGCGCGTGCTAGGCTAATCCTTGTCCGCTGGCCTCCACTTAAAACAACACCGCTTTGGCCGACAAGTGTTTGATCAGTATTAGGAAACTACTGGATGTCGTCAGTCAAAGCGCAGGCCTCAATTACTCTGGTGTATTTTGAATCATCATATGACAAACCAAACAAAATGTTGGCTCGTATGGTTCCAGAGAATACCCAAGCCGTCTGCGGAACATACGTTTAAGTTCCTCGGCAGGATACTTCTCCGTGCGTGCATAGAATTTCACCAGCGATCACAAAAAGAAGAGTGGGTTTCCCACTACCAACTGGCCCGGTAATGACTGTTAAACTACTTGCAGGTGTGCAAAACTCGATATCTCGAAGAATGTAGGAGTCTTGTTGATCCATTTGCTTGTGCGCCAAATTTCTTACTCGTAATGTCTTTTGATCTTGTAATTCATCAGCAGTGGAAGCACCTCCACTGTTTTCTGGGAATCTTCTGAACTCCTCTTCATCACAAATGGGTTTTGATCAAACAAAGTTTCTTTTTGGCTTGAACGATCGCTTGAAGTGACTCGCAAATTCTTCAAAAGGAGAAATTCTTGAAGTCTAGCAAGCGAGGCATAAGCTTCGTATCCTTCTAACAAGGCAAACCCAAGGTAAGTGCCGAGCATGTTGTTGAATGAAATCAACACAAAAACGTTGAATGGTGTCAGTCTCTTCAGTCAGCAAAAGGGTTATGACTGAGAACAGTGTTGCAATAGTGATTGAAGTGAATCTTAGGGCCAAAGCACCCGCGCGAAGTGCGCACATCTTTCGAATAATGGCAATTTTATCTCTG